ACACTTTAATTCAAACACACCGGTCGCGCGAATTACTCAGACTGCTGCACGTGTGCGTTTTATATGCACTTCACCCCATACGGTCGCTGTCAGCCAAAGACATTTTAATTACACGGCATTCTGTCGTGCTCACCCTTAATTCGCCCACCTCAGCTCAGAGCAGCTTATGCATTAATTAGTTTGCAGCTTTTTTTGCTCATATATTGTTTGCGCAGCCTACATTATTTTCATGTCGTAATTAGAGCAACTTTGAAGTGAAGAGAAAATTACGAATGCGTTTTTTCATGCCGATGCATTTTTTAAAAAGGGCAAAAGTGCAATGCGCTCAGTGGTTGAAAAAGGCTTAAGGTTTAATAATATAATTTTCAAACGCAAAGAAATATTTATTTGTTATTTTTTCACATACAAAATAAATGCCCAAAATTAAAACGAGACAATGGATTTTTTTTTTAAATATTTTGAATTGGCCATATATCTTTTTCTAGTTTAAAAAAAATCATTTCCTTTTAAACGGAATATTGCAAAAAAATCATAACTTAAAGAAAAGCTTGTTTTCTTCTCAGCAATATATCCAATAATTCCCGCAAGTTATTGTCAATCGTAGGAATGCTTTTAGAGCTTTTCCTTCGGGGAAAGCGTGCGAACAAATGACCGAAAGCGATTATCTAGCTCTTGCTGTTTTTTCTTATCGATACAGCAAGCGCGGGGCAATTTTCGTCCGCCCAAGCTCACAATGGGAAAATACATAGAGGCAGTGGAGGCGTTGTATAAGTTCTCGGCCATTAATCAATTAGAAAGCTTCATTAATTTCACGCTTGGTTACCGTGGTGACATTCGCACTCTCGACCATAAAAGGCTCAAAGTGTAAGTGTTCGCAAAAAAATTGTGAGCACATTTTTAGCGAGGCCGTTGCTGTGCGTATTATATAAATGGAGTGTCGCTTAGTGGCAATAATTACTTCTTCGTCCTCCATTATCCTCGCCAAACCGTGAAAATAAACTGAGAATTTTTGTAGTAAATTTGAGCTTAGAACTTCCTTAGTTTTACAAGTAAAATGAAAACACTATCAGATCAACAATTTTATTGGCTCGATCATAAATCATAGCTGACTAAAGAAATAATTTAGGGTTTTATTTGTATTAATTTTAATTATTGTAAATTATAAAAAAAAACTGCATATTTATTTTAAAAAAATTAAAGAATCACAAAAGATTTGAATCAGAATTTGCCCGTCCCTCGCTCCTGATCAAGCCTCAATGTGATTAATTCAAAATTGAGGATCCTGTTTGAGGAAAACCTCATATGTATACTAAGGATTTAATTTCAAGTATGGACAAAGCACATTTGGGCAGTTGACAATTTTGGCATTACGCACGAGAGGAGTGCGAGCTCATAAATCCTTTAATAATAGGCGATGCGCAATCTTGCAAAATTCATCGAGCCCCAGCAGTAGTCATTTAACTGCTTGTAATCCGGTGTACTTAATGTGGGAGTCGTGCATTAGCATGCCGCGCGTGCGGATCTGCGTAATCCGAATTATTGAATCTTCCCTGCCGACCGCAGTGTAATGCTCATTCGCGCGGAAAATTGAGTTCGCCGCGTTAGATTACGGGCATGGGGGAGAAGCTGCGAAAGGAAATTCGCCCACACCACACATGCGATTTTATACACATCTCTGCGCTGTGTTTTAAACAGGGACCTTTGATGAATGATTTATCAGCAAACATCATACACACCGCCGATGATAGTGCTCTTTAATGAATCCTGCCTGCACACATATGCAACCTGCACCACCCGGTGTAATGTGCGGTTAACGAGTTTAGCAAGCGCTGCAAGATTTATTTTAACGGCTGCGGCCGCAAATTACATGCAAAACTAGCTGCGCCAACACGGACCCATCGTCCGGCGGGTTTTATTGCACACACCGCGAGCGCAAAATCCCTGCCCATTAAGCACTTTTTCGCTGAAATTAGTTGAAAATTTTTCAAAAAAAGCGCGAGTGTTAACGCTCGATTGCACTCCTTTCTGTTTTTATTGCAAGATAAAGCACGCTCCGCAGAATTTATCTTTCATTAATTTGTCGCATGATATAATTGCTTTATTTTTCCACCCAAAAGTGGTCGTTAAGTACGTCAACCTTCAAATTTTAGTGTACGAACATAAAGCAATGTGCGTAGAATATGATTTCATTGTGTAAACAGACGAATGCTGATTAATATTTATGATGTGTAAAACATTCAACATAATGCGCAAGTGTAAATTTCTTCCAAGAAATCTGCTATTTTTTAGAAATAATAAATGATAAAAAGAATAAGTGATATGGAGACAATAAAACTGAATGTTAGATAACATAATTATGCATAATACAGAATATTTGACAAATGAATTTCCAATACTTAAAAACCAATAATTTAAATTGCGTATATTTTTATCTTGAATACAAGAAAAGGTAGCAAACTTTATTCTTTACTCAAATCGAACATATATTTTTCCTTCAATTTACATAACATCAAATATCTGAGGCCATGTAATGGAGTTTCTGCTAAATTATCAATTTTTCTCTTTTCCCATTGATGAAATTTTCGCCAATTATTTCGCAATGCTGATGAAGGCAGGAATTATTCATCCGCATTCCAATTGCATTTTTCCTTCTCCCTTTGAGCGGAATGGCATCAAACGGAATTCTTTCCGCTCGGATTGGCTCTGAAATTTTTCCGGCTGACATCGAACTATTGAATTCCTTCGGCTCTACCAAAAATTGCGACGTTGTATAGCATTTTTTTTTATCGGTTCAAAGTCCGAAAGCCAAACGCGTATTTTCGCTTTCATCCCTATAACCTCGAACAATACGAGTAGAGACTGGCGCGCGTATTATCTCTATAATTGCGACATAAAAGCCGGCGACTTCATTTTGTTCTCTTTTTTTTTATCTTGGTGCACACTTTTACTGTTTATTTATTTGTTTATTAGACAATTAAGCGACCCATTAAACACGCCGTGCTTGATTAATATTTTTATGACACCAAACTTCATATCCTCGTAGGCGCTAAACTTTTTTATCAGTGGAAGTCCATAAAATTGACTAATCTTTTTCCTACCATTCCGCCGAGCCACACGCACGTCATCATCCCTCTCGCTTTTATGAGCTCCGGGAAATTTCTATCTAGCACATCAGTGACGGGAAACGGTTTAGTGTCTCATTTTGTGGCCGTCCGAGCGGCTTATTGCTGGGGAAAAAATCTGCGCGGTGATGAACAATAGTATATGAATTGAAACAGACCAAATAGGCTCTAAATTCAATTTTGGGCTTTTAAGGAGCGAGAAAAATTATAATAATAATTTTGAATGTTGATAACTAGTAACCCTTTAAATTTACTTCATTAAGATTTAAAGATAAACCTATTTTGCAGTAAAGTTAAAGAATTTCAGATAATTCAAATACCTAGAACAAGAATAAGTTAGAATTAAAAAAAAAATATTTGAACCAACTAATTTCTTAAGATAAATTTTTTTCAATTAAATTAAAAATCATTTTTCGACAAAAATGTCTTTTTTTCCCCTTTGTTAACTTTTTCAGAAGCAGGAAATTAACGCTTTTTTATGCTATGGAAAATGTAAAACCTTTAGGTCTCAATAAAATATCAATTTTCCAGCCCACAATATCTGTTTCCAGCTTTGGTGATAAAAATTAATGTTGCATGTCTGAGCAAAGTTGTACATTGGCAATTTTATTGCTAGCGGTCATAATTATTAAACTGGCGAGAGAATTCCAATTTTCTCTTTTTCCCTCGCTCGCTCAATCCCAACGCATTGCGGTCAACTTCCATTGGGGACGAAAAAAATTTAAGAGACAGAAAAGTCCTCCCCAAGAGTAATAATGGAAAGTTTATTAGATCACTTGTTTTTTCCTCTCTCTCTTTCTCCTTTCTTTCTTTCTTTCTGTCTACATCCTTGTCGTTCTCATCTCAATAAAAAAGCAAGCGCAGGATGAAGTTTCGATCATCTGCTAAATTGCAGAGACGAGAGAAAAGGAAAAAAAGGAGAGCCGCTCTCCGGTGAGAGGGAAGATTTAGCTCGGAAATTCACGTCACTCGCTGCCGGGAAATAAAGCAAACTTTTGACATAAAAATGATGCGCAACGTTCTTTTTTCCCCTTTTTCACCAGCACACGCGCGGCAAAGAGCGAACGGATAGTACTTTCAGCATACAAATCGCTAAGTGCACTTTGCGGGTAATATTTTTGCACTGCGAGATTATAGACTGCTCTGTAAAAGCTGGAACAGGAAATATTAAATTGAGACATGACATGAAAATAAAATTCAATTCAGCAAAAAGGTAAAAAATAAAGCAAAATACTTGTAACGGTTGCATGAGCTTTTAAAAATGACCATCATTTTAATTATATTTTAAATTTTATTTAAAGTAATGAAGAACAAAAATATGAAAAGTATAATTTATTGATAAGAACAAAAACCAAGTCAACAGAGGCGGATTTTTGATCTCGGAAGGTTTAGCAAAATTCTCGCTAGTGGTGGTGTCGTTTTGTCCAACAAATTAATTTCTTTTCAAATTAATTGTTTTCAACAACTGAATGTAAACAATGGGATATAACAATTTTGACAAATAAACAACAACAATAAATTCTAATTTTCAATTTATTCTAAAGTAGTTATTTTGAAAGAGAATTTACCATTAAAAGCTCCTGCCAGCACGAATTTCTGACAGGCGGGCACAACTTCCACTATTTTTCTCTCTTTCTCTCGACCCCATTTATTTGCATTCCCAGACGCGCACTGCCCACGCGGAGAGTCATTTTTCACGGCCACGTCTCTCGCTCTTGTAAATTTGCATCTGCGACGCGCGAGACTCGCTTTAGACAAGTGGCGCGTACATGCGAAAAGGGTTGAATCCCTTGTCATAGACGGAGGATTTGTTTCTCTTTGTGCGTGGAATATATATATGCGAGAGAGATGCTCATCATCAATCCATTTTGCTTGCAGGAACTGGGAAACGAAAACCCTGGCTTCCAGATCGACATCACCGACGGCAAGGGAGTCATCACCACTAATGGCGCCAAAGCGACGAATGGCAAACCCGTGGTCGCCTCAAAGGACACCGTCCAGCTGGTAGGAAACTTTGACCACCTTTGAGACTGGTGATTTAATCAAATTTCCAAGAGCAAACCTGAAGCTTTCACATTATAAAATTTAGCTCTCTTTAAAAGAGGAAAGTTTCAAAGGCCTATTCAAACCTATTGAATTTTATTATTAATAAAAAAAAACTTTTGGCCTAAAGCTTATCAAAATATAAAATATATCTTATTTTCAGAATTTTATCTAAAAATTAAAATACACGAAGAATTAATAAATTCATCTTTGGGCTCAAAATAACTGAGACCATGTATTTTTTTAGTTTTTAATTTTTTATTAAATTTTACATTTATGCTTATTTAAATACTTTAGCTTGAATCAATACCAGTATTTCTTGATTCTCAATACATAAATCGCCTCTTTTTTAATTTTTCTAATTACTCACTTTTAGGAGGAAGGCACAGACAGGCAGCAGTGGTCAAACCCTGTCGAGTTCCTCCTTTCCTGTATCGCCATGTCCGTTGGTTTGGGCAACGTGTGGCGTTTCCCTTTCACTGCCTACGAGAACGGTGGCGGCGCCTTTCTCATCCCTTACATCATTGTGCTGCTCATTGTCGGAAAACCTTTCTACTACATGGAGCTCGCCCTCGGCCAGTTTTCCAGCTCTGGACCTGTCAGAGTGTGGGAAGTCGTGCCTGCTTTGAAAGGTAAGAAGAAGAAAAATATTCCTTTGTATTAAATGTTATTAAAATCATTTCATTTGAAAAAAAGAGGGAGAGAAATAATTAAATGCACTTGTTGTTTGAAAGCAGAAATATTTTAGATTACTTTTTTTTACCAAGTAATGATTTTTAAGTTTTCTTTTTGCAATAATTCTTAAATCTTTGACTGAAAGTAAAGGCCCATCTTGAAGAATCCATAAGTTACTATGTCGTAAAAGCAGCAACGCTCCACTTTGAAAACGCAATTTTCTCAGAGACACGCGCTTTGAGGTCTCAGTATAATACTCTTGACGTGCATTAGGGTGGCCAAACAGCCCCTATTAAGGCCAAAAATGGAAACATCTGGCACATATTCTCATGCCTTTGAATCCAATGAATAGGATTCGCAGCAGCAGGGCGCCTCTCAAAGCGAGTGGGTCTCTCAACAAATGAAACAAAAAACGACACAGAAACTCTATTTCACGGGCCTTTAATCTTTTTAAAATTAAAGCGCTTCAAAACGTTGGGGGAAAAAATGAAGAGCCTCTCTTTGCTAATGCATTCTGCCAAACCATATTATTTTACTCCATTTTTTATTCTGACTGCTGACACGTGGCAGCACATTAAAACTTTTCGCATTTAAAGTGTCAATTCGATTTGAAAGCATTTGATGCCGACCGACCCCTCTTCGCTTCAGCCGATGATTTTTCTTCATTCCCACGACGCTCCCCCTCTGAAAGATGTTTTAAACTCTTCAAGTCTTAGGGCTCGTCCATTTATTTTTGCCTGATGGCGACTAATTTAGTGACGGCGGGCGGCTCTCATTACTCATAGTCTTCTTTCTTGACGCAAAAACACGGCTGCACGTTCATTATTTTTCTGGAACAAAAGATGCGAGAGAACACGCGCAAACAGCCTCTCTGGAAATTAAATTCTTTGATGACAAAGCGTTTTTAGCGGGACAATGAATTCACTTCGCCGCGCCTTTTGTTTTTATATAGAATCTGTAAAACAATAGTTCCTGACGCTTTTTCAATCAGAAAATTCCTTTATTTATGTAATTATTAACTTGAAAAAAATGCGTATTATTTGACGATTCTTATAATTTTAATAAAAGTCATTCATATTGAAATATATTTTGACGGTGAATTCAATTTAAAATTTCCAAATATATTCAGAAATAATTCAAATTAATTCATTAAGAATTTTTCAAGTTAGTCTTTATTCATTCAACGTTCTGTAATAATTTTTGCACCGCCTGTTTACTAGCAATGCCCTCATTTTTCCGACTCATTATAACCATTCTGTCTATCCTGCCACAGGCGTCGGTATAGGGCAACTAGTCTCAACGACGGGTGTGTTCACGTACTATTGTTCCATCATGGCGATCACCATGTTCTACTTCTTCGCGTCGTTCACCGCCGAGCTGCCCTGGGCTAGATGTGGCGAGGGATGGGTCGACTGCGCTGATTCTTTCGGATCCAACGGCAGCATCAGCTCATCGGAAATATACTTCAAGTAAGTATCCCTCACATGTTGTTTAGTTCATCAGTTCATGGTTGTTGCCATTCTGATCATATTTCAAAAATTTTAACGTTAAAGCAAAATAATATCTCCCTAGAAGAAAACAAAATGTAAGATTTTCGGTCATCCTTAAATAGCATTGATGTAAAATAAAATACCTATATAAAAAGGAAATTGTGACTTGAGATGTAGACGAGATCCTTATAGTATTTCAGCTATGCAACCTGGCGCACACAAGAGTTGCGCAGGTTGCATGCTTCTCCTTTTCTATTAGTGTAGCAACAGACCAAGGATCGCTTTAATTATGTGAAATTTTCTGATATAATTGACGAGATTTTTATTCCATTATAAAACGATATTTCTCGTAATAAAAATAAATCTAATCCTAGATTTTTGTAAAATTATAAATAAAACATAAACAATTTCTAGGGACATAGTGCTGCAGGAGAAGGACCAGATCAATGACGGTGTAGGTTACCCTGAGTGGAGGTTGACGTTGTGTCTGCTCTTCTCATGGGTCACCATCTGCCTGGTGCTGATCAAGGGCGTCCAGAGCTCTGGCAAAGCGGCCTATTTCCTTGCGCTATTCCCGTACGTGGTGCTCATCATCCTGCTTGTCAGGGGCGCCACCCTTCCTGGTGCTGTCGATGGAATTCTCTACTTCATTACGCCACAATGGGAACAACTGCTCAACCCTAAGGTAATAAAATATTCCTTATTAAATCACTGATTATTTATTTTGCACTTGATTTTAATTCAAATTGGAGTTGGAAAGGGAAGTTTTTTAGTGATAAAATATGAGTGCGGAAAAATTAAAATTTCGCTTCCTTTTCCAAAATTTCCGCTGAATGTATTGTCCTTTATTTTATTATATGATTTTCTTCCATGCGATGTCCATTTAATGTATTTCCTATTTGATTAGTTTATAATATACAAGAAAATTATGTTTCATTCTTAAAAGATAGAATAATTTGTGGATGATTTTATGCTTTATTTTCATAAAAGAAAAACAAAATTAAGTCCTTTTAAACATTCATTGTTTATATTTGAGCTCGGCAAAATAATTTTGATCTAAATTACGCAGTTTTCTGTAGATTTTGAACAGAGACTGCGCAAATCTTGCCTTGCCGGCTCAAAGGCAAATGGTATTCAATGATGCGCGTACTTTTTTAACTAAATTTCACGGCAAACGGAAAAGTCGGTGGATTAAAGGTGCAATTTATTTCACACTGCCGGCGGCGAGGATCATTTGGTATTACCAAGGGAAATAAATGGAAGCACCCCGACGGGTCGGTCGGGCAGGTTGTGCCTACACACAATGAAGCGGCCCTCTTTCATTTTCCGGCAGTTTGCTCGCACCACCTGGCAATTTGTCACGCAGTTCGCTTTTATTTAGGCTTTGACTTCTCGGCCGAATGGATTGTCGCGCCCACCAATTTTAATTAAAACATTTGACAAGAGTGCCAATTTCATCCACCGGTCTCTCTATAATATTTTATTTTTCGCTTCTGTCGGGAAAATCGTTAATTGCTCGGTGCCCGAATACCTCCAGCTTTAATTAAAAATGTGGCAATTTATGGTCCAACAATACAAAAAGCTGCTCGTTCGCCTCGGATTTTTCCTCTTCATCCAGCACCGCGCGCTGAAAAATTCAACAGCTAGTTAAGAATTTTTGCCCTCAGCAAACAAAAGGAATGAAAAAAGTTAAGCCGAGAGAGCAGGCAAATCTGGCCGGGGATGTATAATTATTAATTCATGCCGCTCCTCCTTCTGCTTCGAGCCGCGGCGCATATTTGTACTTTTAATAATCCACAAGGGGATGGTGTACGTCCATAAGCAGTGCTCGAGAAAAGCAATGGAAAATTAGGAAAATTAATTACGGGCTGCCTCATTGAATTTTCCTTGGGAAAGAACAGAGGGACGTACGGGAATTCAATTTTTTATTCATCCTCGCCGTGTTGTTGGGAAGATTTATTTTTCCCTCTTACATAAATAAAGCCCTACAAAATTTTCCTCCTCATGGCAACGGATTTTTCATCACATGCGGCAACCAACTATTCATAGAATGGATGGTTTTGGAGCAGGCTCGTTATATTTAATGACTTCTCTGAATTTTTTTTATCATTGAATGCAAAGAAAATTTTCTTTTTAGATCAAAATTTAATTGAATATGAAGTACAAAAATAAGACTTAGAGATTGTAAATTTCCTCAGAAATTGTTTGTTTAAGGTTAAATGTCTGACTATTTTCACAAACCGCTATGTTATCTTTGTTTTAAGTATAAAAAGGGTTATTTTTTTCATTCAAAATAGAAATTTAAGCGAAAATTCGTTTTAAGAAAATTCTTGTTTAAAGCATGCATCAACCAGCGATTGGTGTTATGTATGAAAAAAAAAATAACAAAATTGCTTCATACCTTATACATGAGATGCAAAAAATCCTACCCTCGGCTGCAATAAGGGATTTTTGCCGGAGAAACAAAGGCGGGCACATTAGCGCAGGGCGAGGAAAAAAAGACGACGGCGGCGATTCATTTTTCCAGCCTGTCCCACATGATGACCATGAATAATAAATATGCTGATTTAGGTGTGGTACCAAGCAGTTACGCAGTCATTTTTCTCCCTGGGTGTCGCGTTCGGCGGCCTCACAATGTACGCCTCCTACAGCCCCCTTCACCACAACTTTCACAGGTAATGGAGAACAATTGCGAGAGACGCCGCCTGCGTGTAGCACTACTTGCAGCAGCGCCCCTCTGACGACCCAAACCCCTGCCTCTGACCCCTCGACGCTGCACGAACAAAACCTACCCGCCCTCACTTGCTCTTTTTGTAATTTTAGATTTATGTAGAACGCACGTGCTGCTTTTAGCGACGACAAATATTTGCATGGAAATAATTTCATTTTTACTCCTGCGTTTTCACGCCAGGTTTATCTTTCAATTTTTTTAAAATTTACATTATATATGTAACTAAAATTTATATCGCACACAAAATTTAATTGAAAGTTGATCCTGGCGTGAGAATTAGCATTTTTATATGCATGGCTATAGACGTGATATTGCGCTCATTGCATCCCCCGTTTAATTGTTTTAAATGTTTCACTGCATGATTTATTTTGCACTAATTTGTGTTCTAGTTTCTAGTTCACGACTCTTTGCAACCAGCTCACAATTATTGTTTTTTAGCCCATCATGTATCAAATTACACAATGTTTTCATTTACTACTGCAGGCTAGAAAAGAAAAAATTTTGTCACTGCATTACCTTTTTAACTCATGCTGGTTTTACGTCAAGTTAATAAATTTTAAAATTATATTCTTTCTGATCAATTAAATTGCAATCACAATTTGTTGAGTGGAATATTCTTAAATTAATTTAAATAATAGCAATAAAATAATTTTCAATAGAAACTTCCTTATTCTAGTCCTGAAATTATAATTCGCTAACCTTTCCACAAAATGTTTTCTCTGAAAGCCCATTCATTTTTTTCTAAATTGAGACGTCACACTACAGGGAAAATAATTATGCTGCCTTTGTTTAATAATTTAATCTAAATATGCAAAAAAAGAACGCATTCTCTTCCTTTTTTTTTTAAGTTATAAATTATGTTTTCCTATCGAGGCATTTACAAATTATTTTTCGTTTTGTGACGTTTCCTGCCAACATTATTAAATTCATCGCATTATATTGCCAACGGAGCAATGCATGTGATTATGCTGTCCATACTAAATGAAATGAATTGATGGAGAGAGAGAGAGACTCCGTCTCCGCTGTATTATGTGTTTGTGTTGAATCAAGTCGAGCGCAGTGGCTCTGCGCTGATTTGCATTCGTAATAAACATGTCTGGAGCAGTGAGTGTGTGAAACCATGTGTGAGAATGAATTAATTGCCGGCACAGGTGTGGTACGCGGCTGTGACGCAGTGCTTCTTCTCGTTAGGGGTGGCATTTGGCACGCTGTCTATGTACGCCTCCTACAATCCACTGCGACACAACGTCCACAGGTAATTTCAGCTGCGCCACCCGACGCCAGGGCCACTCATTTAATTTGTCGCACTAATTCACACGAAAAACAAACACTTTGCACACCTACACAAAGGGATCATTTTGATAAAAAAGCAATTAATTGCGTACATGTGACTGACTGAATAAATGTGAAATGCCTATTAATATGTGTATGTGTATGTTCACTAATCGAGAACTCTATTCTGGTTGGATTGACAAATCAGGTGTGGTACGCTGCTGTGACACAATGCTTCTTCTCATTATCGATCTCTTTTGGCTGTCTGATTATGTACTCCTCGTACAACAGATTTGAACAAAGCGTTTACAGGTGGGTACAAAAGATTCAAGAAATTGGAATAAACAAAAACCTTTTTGTATTCTTCAATTTTCATTCATTCACTCTTTTTATAATTGTTAAATTCAGAATTGTCTTTGGATGGTTATTTATAATCAGAAAATTTGAAATGGATGAAATTACAGAGAACAAATTATTTGTTTGACGCTCTTGAAATTTTTGAATCTAATATAATTGTTAGTTGAAACTGCTGTGAGAAACTGTTGATAAATTTGAATCCACCCTCTAAATTTATATATTTTCTTATTAACATATTAATAATACACAAAAGTAAAAATTTGCATGAAATGCACTTTCCCGCTTTTGATTGCACTCGCTGATCAACTTAACACAAACAACAACCAAACGTATAAACTGGGACTCTAAACAAAAAGACATTCACTTATCGCTATTAGGCGACACGACTGAATAACACACACAAAATTGACTACGCCCTGACAGCCAACTTATTTGCAAAACTCAATTTTAGGGATGCGATGATCGTGACCACAATGGACACGTTCACCAGCTTGTTGGCTGGATTCACAATTTTCGCCATCCTCGGTAATCTGGCATATGAGAAAGGAACGGACATCAGCAATGTTGTCAGCGGCGGATCAGGACTTGCATTCATTTCATACCCAGAAACCATCGCCAAATTCAACGAAGTGCCACAGGTACTGTTTTTAATAATAATAAAAAAAAATTTAAAATTTAAAAGATTAATTATCTGATTGGCCAAAAGCTATAATAATAATAGAATAAATAATAATAGAATAATAATAGAATTAATTGAATCATTCTTACCAAAAATAAATAATTATTCTGTTTTATTTTCAGTTGTTCTCGGTGCTCTTCTTCTTGATGTTGTACACGCTTGGTATTGGAAGTGCCATTTCTCTGGTCGGCGCCGTCATCACTGCGTACTGCGACCAGTTCCCGACCCATAAGCGCTGGATTGTGACCCTGGTCGTGTGCACCTTCGGCTTCCTCATTGGCCTGGTTTACGTCACACCGGTAAGAGCCGCCAAGAGATAGGGCAGCTTAATTAAAACTGCCACCCCGAGAGAGAACCCTCTTAATTACCAGTGTACTGGACTCTCTTGACAGCCGAGGTTATTATTGTGTTGCAGGGCGGCCAGTGGATTTTGGACTTAGTCGACTATTTCTCAGGCACCTTCATTATCTACATCCTCGCCCTGACCGAAATCATCGGCATTTCTTGGATTTACGGTGAGCTCATAGCTACTAAAAATTATATTTAATTAATACTCTCAACTCTTATTTAAGAAATAATCAAATCTGACGAGCATTTTTCCAATTCAATTTAGGTGTGAATAATTTCTGCCGTGATCTGGAATTCATGCTGGGAATCAAGGTCGGCTTTTATTGGAGAGTCTGCTGGGGATTTGTTACTCCCATCTTCCTGTTGGCTATTCTTATCTACAGTCTGATCACCCTGACGCCCATTCAGTACCAAGGAAAGGATTACCCCGACGCAGCTTATGGTAGAATTGTTATTCTATTTTCTGCAGGATAAATAATTTTTTTATTATTATTCTAGCCTGCGGTTGGGTCCTGTTCTTCATTGGCGTGGTTCAGGTTCCGTTCTGGGCAATCTTTGCAATTTGCAAATACTACAAGACTTCCATTCCAGAGGTGAAGCAAAAATTAATATTTAATGAAAATGTCTCTAAATATAATTTCATATTGGCAGGCAATCAAAAAGGCATTCAGACCCACCAAGAGATGGGGACCGAAGAGTGCCAAGTCGCGCCAGGAGTGGGAAATTTACAAGGAAGAAGAAAAGGAGAAGATGAGAAACGAAACGAAGTCTTTCAAGTTCCTCCATCTTGTCTTTGGAGTGACCAGGCGGCGACCAAGTTCTGTGTCGTCCTCTTCCTAGTTCCAGCTAACTTGTATAGTTATGACTTAAGCATATTTTAATTTTAGACCAATGAACTTTTGAACCAATTTCATCTTGCAAATTTCTCTGCCTAAAAGGAAACCGCATAGAAAAATCGTGATATATTCAAATTATGTCATTAACTATTATGTTATTTTGGCGTCCTTTCCACAAGACCAGTACAAAATCAATGCAATAAATAGAAGGAGAATTCAAAATTAAATGATACATAAGTTTAGAAAAAGAAAATTTTTTTGTAAGCAAGTTGAAAATTTGATCTCGCGTCACTTTCAATATCAGCATAAATTCTTGGATTGCATTGACGATTGACTTGATAGTTGATAGCAATTTTTATACAATTGTAACTATGTATTAAGAGCAGGGTGTAGATAGTTTCCACTATAATTGTTATTAAATTAACAGACTTTGGTAGGTTTTATCTACCTATTTAAACTAAAACATTCATTCCACTAATTGTAAAAGACAAAAAAGGTAGCCTTCTGTTTTCAAAATTTAATTTTAGAGGTTCCATGTTTTTGATGATAAGAGATAGAAAAATTAAAAAGAAAACATTTACAACCTGTGGTAACAATGTGGCTTCTAATTTAATAAAAATGTTTTAAATGTTGAAATTAATTTGTGATGTTTTATTTATATAATAGTTTCAACCTCTCTGATTGTGTCAGATTTTGAGATCTGAGATTGAAATTAATTATATATTTTGACAAAAAAAATCTGTTAAAGCATTTAAATAAGTAAAAACTTAATTTTATCGTTACATTATTAAAATCCAATCAACGATAATTGGAAAAAAATATTTTGTATATGCATTAAAATATCAATATCCTTTTACTATCAGGAAAAAATCTGTCTTTTTCCAATATCATATTGATGAATTAAAAACCTATTTTTGGTGCTGCACTGCTACGTCATTCCATCAATTTTCCACCTGCTGCGAGATACCATTTGATATATCGTAAACACGTTGCCACACGTCATAAGATGCTGCGTCTATTGTCAACCTGTCTTGGTCGACTGGGTCGCAAATTGTGGACATGCATTAGGGTGAGAAGAGATGCGTTTGGACCAGGGCAGGCAGATAGACTAGAAAGAGGCCATAATATCTGTCATCACACTCTTCTCTCCTTTTGGTCGTCGAGAGTTATTTATTATTGGAGCGACGGCGGGCTGATTTATGTGACATTTTTTTATGCATTCACCGCACAAAAGTAGACGACAAGCATTTGTATCACTTTGATAACGCCCATATTTTCTCGCTCCCCTCGGCAGCCAGACTCTTCTCTTTTCAGATGAATGGCATCGAGCACTTTTGAAACAATCTGCGCTCGCGAATATAAAAAATGTGACAAGCTTTCAACTTTCTGCTCGCTCCCCGAGGCAGCATGAAAAAGGGAATAGTCCTTCTTCTTTTATTTCTTTCCTGAATTTAAATTTCGTTACTTTTTACAAAAGAGAGAAGAAAAATTCTCGGAAGAGCAAGAAGAAGGAGGACAGACAATAAGAATCCGTCTCATTAAAACGTAATTAAGCTCGGTCGAAGAAAAAACAACTTTGAAATAAAACATCGCGTTTGAACATAATTTTCCTTTTTATTAAAAAATATATCATCACATTGTTTAAATATGAGGCTTCACTTCTTCTTTTTTTCTCAAAGTTTTCTCGCATTACGAAAAGACATTTACAATGAATGTGTGTGTGTGTGTTGTAAGTGTGTGTTCAGCATGCCGGTTTACAAAACGAAGCTCCCGTAAATCTAACGCCCTAGCTCGGCCTGTTTGTCTTTTTAATTTTCTAGTAAAAAAACTAGAACTACTCTGACTTCATTGCTAGCCTGTCTATCAGCAATATATTTCATACTCCACCTTCAAGTGCTGTTTTTTTAGTGTATTTTTTTTAGAAGTCAAAAGTGTCTCTTAACAAAAGGAGCTTATTGGATGTGTTTATTAAAAAATGTCTTCATCTCACCTATTCTAGTGAGAGGTGTGTGAATGTCAAGTAAGCAACCGGCTCGACAGTTAGGTTGCGCGGGTTGCATACAAGACTCTGCAAGTGTTACATTTAATGGAATGCACAAAGCGAGGAAGATGAGAGAACAAAATAGTCATTTTTTGCATTTGCGTCTAAAATTAAACAACGCTTAAAACTTTCACACAATTTTAAAATAAAGATTCTGTTTTAAAATTGCCTTCTGCTCAAAGGATACTATTTTCTTGTTACACTGTTTGGAGATTTACTGTAAACCCTTGCCAATGTGAATCAATTTTTTTTTGTATTTTCAATAATTATTAAAATTCCTTTAAACTAATAAATGCAAGAGCAAAGGAAAAATAGCACGTATTTCTGCAGTTGCTTCCTTAAAAATGTATTTACATAATTATACGAATTTAAGTATTACAAGTGTACTTACATACCAGGCACACTAATCCACAACGCTACAGTGAAAGTTCGCGTCTTAAAAACTTTGACACTCAAACACCTACGCTCTGCGGCTAAATTGATTCAACAACAGTGTCAATACATGGTTTAATTAATTAATCAATGTTTGCATACGTACTATTATATTTATAATAATTTACTGGATTCAGTTTTACAGCAACTTGTTATTAATGCAAAACACGTTTGTTTTCATCATCGCAGTAAGTCCTCTGATTGCATGGGGAGCTCACCGCACGTTCGTCGGCATTTGCTGCATACAAAAAAGTCCATCAATTATGCACGCCACTAATCATTTAACACGCTCTGATTAAAAACGTTGCGATTAATTCGGGCTGTGCGGTTCCCAATCAGCCGCGGCAGCTCGAGTCTCTCGCGCACTCTGGGCGATTCATTATTATTTTGTCCGTGTTTGTATATCACAAAGGGGTTTGACGATGGATTTACGGTAGGAGGGTTTAATTACACTGGGCGATTTACAAAATGGGGCTTCGGCATGTGCAGCGTCTACTCTTTACAGGCACAGGATGGCACCATGGATGTGGCAGAGTTTTGAAAATTAAAAAAAAATTATGATAGGTGAGAAACTTTAAATAATAATAAAAAATTAAAAATGGAATTTGAAATTTATGTCAGACACGTCAAATAATTCGGCTGGGATAAATTAAGAAAAATTAATAACAAGATGGATAAATCTAAAAATATTCTGTACCTAAATATTTTCCATCTCTTGTTAGATTTCAGGGAAACATTTAATTTCTTTAAAAGCATAAGCAATGAAACAGTTTGAAATTTTAAAGAAATTTTCAATTTAGAAATGTAGAAATTTTAGAAGTTAACACGATAAAATTGCTCCGAATCAAGAATGTACTTAAATAAAAGAGAAAGGCTGGAAGAGGAAAACTTGCCAGATCCACGGTGCTACTAGGGAGTCGTGTATCGGTGCTGGGGTGAAGGATCACACGTGGATGTAGGTGAACTCCCATTGGCGCTGCCACGACGAGTCGTTGGATGAGGCGAGCGACGTGGGCTTGGTCGAACATCAGTAGGGCTCGTCGTCGTCGTCGCGTTTGTGGCACGCGCGGCACAGCATGCCGATGAAGCAGGCGGCGACGATGGCGCCGCCAGTCGCGCCCAACGCGATCGCCAGCCAGTTGACCTGCTCGGGCAGGTGCGACTTGCACAGGTCGGGCGACTCGTCGTGGTGCGTCTCGCCACCGGCCGATGCCACCGAGCTCACGTTCGGGCAGTTCTGCACACCGTTGCACACTAGGCGCGACGAGATGCACGCGCCTGAGTCGCCTGAAAGTAGAATGAAAACCACGCACGCATTTTTGTACTTTTTGTATTGCGAGAAATTTACAGTGTATGGAAATATATAAAATATATAAAAGATTTTATTGCGTGCAAATGCATGCTGATGCATGCATTGCGATACATTTCAATTAATTGCACATATGATAGATATAATTCTTAGAGACAAAAATCTGAATTAATATCATACCAAAGTAGCTAAATTTGAATAATTAAGTAGAAATTCCATCAAATCTTTTCACACTCTTATTCACCGGTACCAAACATTTTTATTTAAAAAAACACACATTTTATTACAAAAAATAGCCAATTATTTCACACATAAAAACACCTCCACAGTAGTTAATTATATTCATTTGGATTTTAAAACAATTAGCAATTAATAAGTTATAAAACTTTAAAATTTTAATTACGAATTTTATGCAAAAAACTTTTTTTAGCATCTCAACAATTTATTTTTGATAAGAAGAAGTGACATTAAATTCAATTTAAAATTTAGAAATGTGTACAGTTCTATCAATTATTTTCCTCTGAATCTTAATACATAACTGGCAAGCTTATTGTGATTTCCAATAATTTTAACCCAAAACGAGAGTTCATGCAAATTAATCATCAAAAGCAGTCAACTAGGCCTGAATTATACTAAGCTGGCAAATATCTTGCAAGTAAAAAAGTGAATTTCAGTAAAAATTGACCTTTCTAATTTTCAAGCAAATTAGCCGCAAATTAAAATAAACAATTTAAAATTTCTTAACTTTTGTTTGCATATTTGTTTCTGCTCCTGATGACGTGAAATTTTTTCACACACTGACACGCAAACACAAAGTAGACACACAGAGAAAAAGAAGCGGACAAAACAGCTCTATCAACTTACATTTGCCTCCTACGTACCTGGACAGAGGAACTCGCAGTCGGCGCTCAGCCTCTGCGTAGCCACAGAGCCGTCCGAGTTCCTCGGCAGGTGGAAGAGTTCCGTCCAGGCCAGTTTGAAGGCGGACCTGGCCGGCAGGCGGCCGTAGAAGTGGATGAAGATGGACGAGGACAGCATGTTGTCCTCGACGGCCTCGTAGTCGGTGTTGAGCAGCTCGGCGTTGGTCACGATCGGAATGTCCTTGGCCTGGCTCACGTTTTCGCCGCAGATACGCATCCACGGCTCGGCGCCGATCGCGGCCCCGACGGCGCCGCCGTTGTGCGGCAGGTAGAATTCGAGCCGCCCGTCCTCGCACGAGCGCGACGAAAATTTGATTTTGTCAACGTGCAACCACAGATCGCGGTCTTTGTGAACCTACAGAAGCAGATATTTTAAATATCATAAGTTTGATCCTCAATTGTTAACAATTTTTACATTTTTATTATCTAATGATTTACTGAAATTTTCTACCTTATGTGAATAATAAAATTCCAAATCATTAACATTTTTCGGTTCAATAGTAGACAAATATGTAGATCCTAGCAATAATTAAGGGCCTGATATAGTGAAAATATGTTATATTATCTTTTTAGCCTATAAATGAATATGAAATATATAAAGAGCCAGTCTACCAAAAATCACTAGTTATAATTTTAATATTTAACTTGTTTATCATGATTCATGATCCAGTACAAATATTTATAAACGTTGTATTTTTTTTATAACTTATAAATCATAAAAGTCATGAAAATTTTATGCAATAGTAGTAATTGCTAATGATTTTAAATCATAAAAAATATATTTAATAATTAGGAATGTTTTAAAAGATTGCAAAATGTTTAAAACTATTCATGGTTTTTAATTTTATTTAATTAGTTTTTATAAATAAAAACTTATTAATATCAAGTCAGTTTCGTTTCTGCTTTGGTTTTGATCTTGATTCATAGTAAATATTTTTTTAAATCCTACCTTGAGTTCCCAAATGCAGCGCACGATGTTGTCCTGCTCGTGTGGTGCGCTGGTGCTCTGATGGTGCGCGCTGTCCGCGTAATAGTACTGCGGCGACGCGTAGTGCGTCTGCATGTAGTAGTCCTTGTGAGGGAAATGCAGCTCGCCATCGTTGGACGCAGATATGGTGGCTGGACCGCACGCCGGGCCGTGAATGAATTGGTACCTGGCTTCGAAGAGAGGCGCCGAGTGTTTGAAGTAGTTGGACGCCGCGTGGCTGTGCTCGACCAGCAGCCGCACGTTCAACCGGTCGCCCTTGGACACCATGGACAGTGGCAGCAGCGTCTTCGCGTTGTCTTTACACAGACAGCCCAACCTGCACAACATTCAACAGTCCCAACGCTCCATAAATATGATAATTTAAAAAGAAATTAGAGTTTTGATTTACTCTCAAATTGCTCAAGATTTTTCTCTGGGATACAAGAAATGAAATTTGCGCCAAATTTTCACTTTCTTTTTTAACTGAGTTGATATATTATCACAAAAATTAATTAGAAATAAAATAAATCATGAGAAAAATTAACTATAATCTCCGTAAAAACACTTAAAAATCTTGTTGAGATAAAGAAATGCACATTTAATAATGTATTTAAATTTTTTTTCTTCAACTATATTAAGAAATATATAATGTAAAAAAACAAACAAACAATTATACCATAAATTGGCTTACCTGTTTCCATCAGTGAGGTTTAGAGAAGTTGGCTCCCAAATTTGAAGCCGGTCGATCTGCTCGTGCCAGCATTCGTTGCAAGGAACTGTGCTGTAAGGGTGGTCCTTGAAGGCAATGTTGGTCACCGTCAGGATGACCCTTCCGAACACGCGTTTGTCTGTGATAAACCTGTAAGTGCAGCTCACGTTTTCAGCAGTGCTGGCGCTTTTCTTGTAGACCAAGGTGTTCCTGGGGCTTCGAAGAGTACCGTAGCTGCGTTTCCAGCTGTGGAAGGTTTCGTCACACTGGGTTCCTGAAAGCAAAATAAACAGGGGTATAAAATATATTTTTTTAACCCCTATAATAATTTCCTCTTTAAAAAGTACCTCTAAGAGGTTTAAACAATATTGCCTCAAAAATAATTTGTTTTTTTCTTCCTATATATACTTCATTGCCTCTAAAAATTCTAAATCAATCTACTTTCAAATAAATAACGCTGCGTCCAAAAATTCACCCAGAATGCAAGCAAATGTTAACTCGTTTGGAAAGGTAAAAAAAAATTGGTGACTCTGACTTTTAATAAATTTATAAAATTTGTTTGAATCTGATTAATCATTATTTTTATCAAGAAGAAAATCTTCATTACCTGCAAGGGCTTCTCCACTCTTCCTATCATCGAAGAAGTCGTAATGCGCCCAGTAGTAGAGGGATGAGCCACTGTAACTGCCAGTTTTGCTCTCAAATCGCACAAAAAGCGACTCGGTGGTAGAAACAAAATCGTGTTTTTCCATCGCCTTTGAAAATGTGTCGCAGAACGTTTTGATTATTTTCGAGTCATCTGGCCAGGAGGCGTCATAAATTGTTAGAGACTCGCCACAGTCACCGTCAAAGTGGCGGATCGGAGACTCAATTCTGTTGATTCTAAAACTGCAATTTGAGGAAAATAACATGTTTAAGCAACATCCGTGAAATTGGCAAATCTTTGATACCATTTTTATTTAAATATTTTGTGTTCCAATTATTGTTAGACAAATAAATGATAATAATAAAATAAGTTTTACCTTGGGAAGTAAAGTCGGACAACCTCGCCAGGCTTGCCCTTAATGAGGTAAGTGCAAGAAGTGTGTGGCGGGTACCAATGGGCCACGGAGAGGAAAATTCCCTCCGAGTCGCCCGAGGCTGCCAACTGTTCGCTGGTCATGATCCAGTTGCACGTCCCATTTCGAACACCAGCTGTTTCCACGTGACCCGGCCAGTTGCCCACGTTGAAGTGGAAGCCTGTGTTGAGAAGTGGACCAGCTTCAGAGGTCACGAACTCAACAAACAGGTCCTCGCTTGTTCCAATTATGGAATAAGGGAATTTTCCCATGCCACAAAAAGTGCCAATGATTGGGCCAGTTTCGTCTTTCCCGTCGTAAATCTAAATTAACATTAAAAAAAATCATTCACAAAACGTGTACAAATAAAATTCCTACCCTAAGATAATCATAGGGGCAGTCCATGGCTGATATGGGCCGCATGGGACAAGTCATGATGTTTTCGCATCGCTGCCCGTCAATGTTGAACTCCTCGTTTTCGATGTAGAGCTTAATGAAGGGCAGACGCGTGTTCAGGTAGTACTTGCAGTGCAGGTTGCGAGGGTAGATGCCAGGGTAGGCGGGACTCTGGACGTAGCAGGTCTGCAGCCTGCAGTCTCTGAAAACGCGCTCGCAGTATGTGTTCGCCACTGGCTGACCTCGCCTTTTGGTTGAAACAGCACAAGGATATTTTTATTTAATTTTCATATTTCATAATTCTAGATAAATTTTTACAGCTGTTTTTAGATTAGTAAATTTTTCATACAAATTTATAAAAAGGATTCAAATTTTTTTTTATAATTTATTTAATAATTAAAATATAAGATTTTAAAATATTTGAAATTGAAAAAATGATTGATTTGAATTTTTCTATACATCCTTTGTTATCGTTGGGTAATAACAATAATGTGATAAATTTAGATTTTTAATAAATTACAAAGAAAAATATTACATATTATTTCATTTAAAAAAGGAGGGAAACTTTGACGGTGCCTATTCAAAGATAATCCCTGACCTAAAGATGAAGTTGTGTTATTTGAAGCAAGTGCATTACACGCTTGAAAGCACGCGACTGACCTGTTGGGGTAAAGTTCTGGATGCTGGCCATAACGAAGGTAAACCTCAAACTGCTGCTCAGCGCGCGAGTCAAAACTGAAGTAGGTCTGATCGGTGAAGTTGTCGGTGTGGAATTGAACTTTGACGAAACTCGTCTCCGAAATAAAGGTCTGGGGCTGCTCGATCTCGCCGCAAAATACGCCCGGGTCTCTGCGGTTGCTCACCTCAGTCTTCGTGTTGCCGTCCACAATCTGAAATCACGCAACAAAGCCTCGGTGAGAGACCAATAAAGCCGTCAGCCTATCTATCAGCCGATAATCGCTTAATAGGTCAGGGATCACGATACGCAATAAATCATGCTTAAATAATATTACATCATGGACCAGAGTTTTTCTTTTCCGCGTCGAATGCGATGGTTTCTCATATCAATCATAGGAATAATGTTTTTTCAATTATGCCTGAATTGTTTTATTTCCTTATATTTAAATGAAAAATAATTGAATACATTAATTGAGTATTTTATTGACCCCAATATGGTCAAGATGAAAATGAACAGAAAATTAAAGTAATCTTAATAAAAAACAGCATATCTTGTTAAGATAATTATTAATCCTGCACTTATTGATTATAATCAAATAATGTTGTTAAAATTTTGAATTAATAATTTAGTTTGCTGTATGTCCACTTTACAAATAATTTGTACGCCGCATTCAAAATTGTTGAAAGAGCTAACCGCTTTTGTTTCGACCTAATTCAAATTGTTGCCACTTTCTGATTTTCATTTTCAGGCTGGATAAATTTTAACTATGAAACGTGACAGCCAGAAAAGAGGCTGAATTATTTCCAGTCAGATATGCAGTGGGTGGGTGAGAGGCGGGTGCGGTTGGTTGTGAGCGCGCGATCCAGCAGCTCGCACACAGCCATATTTCACGGCCCAAATGCTGGAGACAGGGGGTTTCTTCTTTTGCCTTTGTCGCTCGCAAAGCTTTGCGGCTGTTAAAATGTCACGTGTTCGCGTCGAGCTGCTGCAAACCCTTTGTCTTATCAAGTAGTGTAAATGAGAAAAGAGCAGCCGTGCGAGAGTTGTCGTCAAATAAATTACAAACACCCCTTGCGTCGTGCAACTACCCCACAGTGCAGAAAATAAAAGAATGCCTCGCACGGTGTAGCTCACTTGGCTTCAAACGACGGACAAGTAATTCTTCAGGTGCACTTTGCTTCTGGAAATTGAATTAATTTAAATAGGATACCAGTTTTATGTAAAAAAGGCCAAAGCTAAATTAAAAAAATTCTCTACAAAATGTATTAAATTAGTATAAATAAAATTGAATATGTTGAAGATATCATGAGTAATATTTTATTTTTAAATTTATGATACTTGAATAATAATATATTGGGAAATTAATATTCATAATCTTCAAATATTCGGTAGAAATTTCTTCTGCTATTTCCAGTCCAAAGAATATTAATCGATTTTATGTATTTAATATGGTGTAATTAATTTGTGTACCTAATTTGTCAGCAGCGAATTTCAAGAGGGCGCAAAATTCCAACCAAGTATCCAAACTAATGAGCCGATCAGGTCTAATGAGAGTAAGAGGCTTCAGTGTAGGCAGCAGGCTCTATTTTCCAGCTTCATGCTCAACAAATTCGCATCCCTTCGCAAGATGCTTTTGATGAGTAGAAGCAAGGAAGGTATCTCAAAGGATGTGGTTAATTAGCGTGGTGGGTAAATTTAAAGGATGGAATACTAATATTACTTCAGCGAAATTCTGCTGATATCATAATTACGTGGAAAATTTATTTCTTTTTTAGAGACGTTTTTTGAGATTGAGTGGCAAACATCTTACATACTTTCAATAATATATATTCAAAAAATTGAGCTGACATATAATATTCAACTCAATATCTTGTGAATTTAATAGAAAATTTCGCTTTTTTTATTAACTTCCTTAGTTTAATAAAATCATTTGAAAAATCTAAAAATATCTCTTGACATTTTAGATTTTCAACAGCAAGGAAAGAGATTTTATTTCGTCTGATAGCGTATCTAAATGGAAAAGTGCAGACCAAACAAAGTGCTGCTTAAACTTTCATAACGTTCGTTTTTACCGAATGAAAAATCTAGTTCTCTTTTGCGCGCCTGTTGGCGTTTCAGCCGGAGCACTTAGCTGCAGTGGCACTGCAGGGGATGAAGCGGAGTTGCTTCCGCTCGTTCGCATCTCGGCTACGTCGCCTCCGGGCTCAAATTAAATGACAATAAAACAGGCGAATGACTCTGGCAATCCCACTATTCGCAGCATGATGTGCATAATAATAACACTTGAGTCAAAGTGTAATGGCAGGCGTAATGTTGCTCAGCGGTGCATCCACCTAATCTCTTTTATGTCGGACAGCAAATTATCCGGCTGGCTCGACTGACTACATTATTGAGACATTCAGCGCAAACTTAATTATTCATCCATCGTTTGGTAGGTGCAACATTTGCCTGATGAAATTCAGCCCGGCTCACAGCACCCTGGGGAATTCGCGAGAAATTTAGATAGAACTATAGGTCGGCTGTCGGTGGCGCTTGTTGCTCTCATGTATGCAGGAGCAATTACTTTCAACACGGATAAACTTTAATTTTTTGCTGGAAACATTTCTAGTCTCTTATAATGGGAAAAAGGGAGTAACTTCCGTCATATAAATATTTAATAGAGAGTTGTGTGAAAATCCAAGCAGCTAATTGTAAGTAACATAATTGTAATTTTAAATTATCCTCAAACTTTATATTTTAATCGTTCTTACTGTGCATTATGCAGATCAAAAATTGTTCAATAAAAACAATGAAAATATTTAATTATCCTGTTTGCATAAACTGTTGACTGTAAAAGTTCGAAACATTTGAAATATTTTAAGGTCGCAAATTGTGAGACGCAGTCTTTAGTCCTGCCTTCTATGCCTAATTATGTTCTGGTCACGAGCAGGGTCGTTTCATGCAAGTGAGGAAGAAAAGCCGCAAACTTCACAGACAACATTTGTCATCCCGAAAATGTTTCTCGACGAGCTCACTGCACCATAGTAGAGAGACTTTGTTCTTAATACAGAGAACGGCGTGTTTGCCACACACTGCTGAATACAATTATCATAAATTTATTCGGCACTCGGGTGAATTAATTCAGTCAAACGGCCTGTGAAATTCGGTTTATGTGCGCACTCCGCTACACGTATAATATAAAAATACACGGCACGCATAAATTGACTTCCGTGAAATGCGTGTGCGGGAGAAAGAAAAAAATTGCCTTCGCTAGGGGAAGCTAATTCCAGAGCTTTTGATTTGAACAAAACCGCTAAAACCAATTCGCGATTCTCAGGACTGTGTGAAAAGAACTGTTAAAATATTGACAACCAAGGGCTGCTGCAAATTCCCTTCGGAATAGCCGTCTTTTTTCCGCCGCACTTTCCTCTTCCGAGCCGGGTCGATATGGAAAGCTTTTAAAATCTAAAGTCGCGATTTCACCTCTTCCTCCTGCGTCAGAATCGACAAACACGAACAGGAAAATTACGTGGAAAGCTTTTTGTTCATCAAAAATAAATTACGCCTGTCCCGGATGGGCTCTTGGATTCACAATCTCGTCACCATAGTTAAAAGTGGTGCGGTTAAAGTGACAAACAGCGGCGAATTTACGACTTCCTCCAACCCCTTCACTCAATTAACCCTCGAAAGGGCCGTGCGCGTGCAACAGAGTGACGTCTAGGAATAAATTTATGTGCCATCATTAACCGCCTAATGGTGCGAAACTCAATTTGCGCTGCGATTTTTGCCCAGATATGCTAATGAGTCGGAGCTGGAATTTTGCTTCGCGTTGCGACGGTGCTGGCAGGCGATATTCTGAGATGACAGCACTTTAGCTGGGGGAACGAACGCGTACATAAATTAATTTGTTTTTCATCGGCGACGACGCTTCACGAGCAGGCGCTCCTTTCGAGCTCTTTTCTCGCCAGATGAAAATTTGAAAATCGAGCCGTGAAATTCGAATGTGGGGCGGTAATTGTTTGATGTGTTTTCTGGCGCGCGAGAATATTTATGCAAACACAAGCCCCGATGAATTCGAGTAATTTGTAAAACGAAACAAATTTTAATTAACCTCTCGCTGAGCTGGATGTAGTAACACGATACAAGCAAATGTTGAAGTTGCCTTGTTTGAAAATTTCAATTCATGCCCATATTTACAGAGCTAAAATAATGCTATTTTGTAACCAGATCGTCTATTTGATATAAATTTAACGTGATATAAATTGGGTGAAGTAATTGGAATATTATCGTGCAACAAATTTGTTTGGTATTTTATTTCTAAAACTCTATATAATGTTCCAAGTGGATAATATTTTCCTCTGGCTTGTTGATAAAAAATATTCATCATCAGAGCATAATCATTAAAATTGATGAAGCCGATGCACATTTACTGATTAAGTAAGTGATTATGAAAAAATTCAAAAGTTCATCAAATTTTCAAGAAAGTATTCCCGGAGGACGTTTAGTCCAAACCTTTGATGTAATATTTTAAATAAACAAATCCATTTTCGTTATAGCTTCCTAAAAGTATCAAGACAGTGAATTTAATTTTCATTCAACTATGAAATTACTTATATTTTGGCGAAAGCCGACATTTAAACGCCAGCAAAGGAATCAAGAAAATTCAAGGGATCAAAATTAACAAATTAATCTATACCACAATATTAACATCACTTTGTCGCAAAGATGTTTTTTTCATAGCCCTCAAACGACGGTATTTTGTTACAAGCTTAAACTCTTCAAAGCCGTCAAGAGATTTGAACCCGAGAGAACCCTTTCTTCCAACCCTTCCAATTGTCTGAACATTAGCTTTGTCGCATAAGGGTCTGCAGGCCATGGTAATTCAATAGTCACGCTCTGCTTGGACCGAAGCCCTAGTTGCCTCTGTGCCCGACGTAATCAAGCGTGTTTGTCTCGCAGGTTGCATAACTTTCAACAGCTGCCGGATTGGCACAGGCCTAGGTATAATGCGCGAATTAAACTGCACACATAGTTGTGTATAATCGGGGGCGCTCGGGGAGCTCGTTTCGCCCACGTCAAACCCGCAGCGCACGTCGCCATTAATAATGCACACACGCGATGAGGAAACTCGAGTTTAAAGTTGAGCCCCTTGGCGCGCATTTATCCGCCGGGGTAAATATTTGCCGACGAGCAATGATAGAGAGTGGTGCAATGTCAATAGGTGGTGCCGAA